CAGATATACGTCAGTTTACACTTGGGTTAATGTGAAATATCAAGATAAACAATAATTATCAAAACTCTAAACTGGAGCAGCATCTACTTATTAACATTCAGTTCACAGAGATTTATAAGGGTGATATTTTTGTCTTCCACACATGATCTTTCCGTTCGTGCAAATAGAAGATATAACGAAAAAAACACAACTGAAGCCAAGCACTGTATGCCAAGTGGAATTACTTTCATGTCAACATGACATCCCTATCTCACAGGTGCCTTCAGTCTAGGCCAAGTAAACCAAAGGTAAATAGCTTGGTCAACAAGCCCTGCCCTTTGTTACATTTAATGGTCAGGCCCCGATTTCTCGAAACAAACTTAAGTTTTTACTCAAATTTCAAACTGAGTTGGACAATTTGAAACAGATGAATTTTTAACTCAACTGCATTTTTTAAATAAAAAAGCCCAAACAACTTAAGTAATCTATCCACCAAACTCAAATTGTCTACTATGTTTGAGTTTAATATCGATTTTAGTTCATTCTGGGAAATGCATTTTCTCAAATTTGAGTAAAAACTCTAACTTAAAGAACCACTAAACTTTGTTTTTTGTTACTCTTTTAACCATTACATATGACAGATTTGTGGTTAGTCTTATGCGGAACACCAAATTTATTCTTTAAAAACTTGTGGTTAATTAATACCGAGCGATTAAAAGTGGCCAAAAAGTCGCCTGCTTCCCTCTCGCCCGCCAACGAAACCACAGACAGGTTACGTAACTCTGTCGCCAGAGCACTGCAGTGACGTCATATGAGGAACGATTTTCAGTTAGTTGTATAGAAAATGTGTAGCACGCCATCATTTTGATGATTTCTCGACATCAACGACGACATGCCGAATCGTTGCTTTGTCGTCAATTGCTCCTAGGGTCGGGCGATGGTGTCCCCATGCACAGATTTCCACAGGACCCCGCAGTTCGTGCTAAATGGGTTATGTTTGTGAGTGCGCGAAGCGGCGTTGTGGAAGCCTGAAACGATATCTTACTTGTGTTCAGATCGCTTCACGGAAGTTAAAGAATCAAAACTACTTACTAGTTGTAGTAAAATATGCATATGATTGATGACCATAAAGATTTTCTATGACACAACTTGTAACATAACGATTTCTTCCTCGAAGTGAGGTTGTGGTCGGCAACAATAATATTGTAAGTAGTATTATATTGACACCCACCTTGCTGCCACGAGAGAAATTGTTATGATATATGCTATGTCATGCAAAATCCTATTGGCCATCAATAAAATACATATTTTATTACCAGTAGAAGTAGTTTTGATTTTAGAACTCGGTGAAAACAAACCTAAATACCATTTATCCTCAGACTGGCGGATGTTCCCGACAGGGCGCCGCCATTTTAAAAATAAAAAAATCTGTTAGAATTAATAAGATTATAGTTTGTTTTCATCAAGTTAGAAAATCAAGACTACTTTCTACTCGTTGTTAAATATGTATTGTAATCATAACCAAACGGATTTTGCATGACACAACTTATAACATAACGATTTCTTCCACGGAAGCGAGGTGGGGGTCGAAGTCACAATACTGCGCGATAAATTTCTTTGCTACATTCCCATGGTTAATGTCCACTCACCAGTATGTAGATACTAGTCAATGTGCGCCTTTATATTTGGTCTTATAATCCTAATTAGTTTATTATCACACTTGTATGCATTTTGAAACTAAATAAAAGCAGACGATCTGCTGATACTTATAGTGAATTTATAACAGAACTGTAATATCTAGACATTTTATAGTTTGCCAATGTGAATCATAATTCGCACACACACCCTAGTGCATGTTGTCTGTCTCATTACACTTCACGGCTAAAACAAAGATTCTGTTGAATGCTACGACAAATGAATAAAACAAAATGCAAATATTAAAATTAAAACAGATTAAAGTTATAGGAACAATATCAGGCCATTACCTTGTTCGAGGAATGTATCCATCAATATCCACAAAACTGTTCCAAATGATGTGTCTTTTAACAGTTTAATATACCTAAAAAAAGTGATAAATCTTTTCAGGTATTGGTGTATAGTCTCATTGGTCACCCAAGATAGCACACCTGGCAACTAATTGCATAATGTCCGCCTTTCTATAAAAACAGTAATTTAGTTAGCCAATAATCGGCAATCAATCAATGTATTGCCGGTTAATCCTTTGAAAGAAGGACGTTGTTTTTTACGCAGACACCGACACGACAGAGTGTATTCAGTATAGATTAGTAAATCTACATACATAAACACTACCTTTTGACAATTCCGCTGTGTAAGATAAAAGTAATTAATCAATCAGCGTGTTATCGGTTAATCCTTTGTCCTTTGTCCACAATAATGTTGAATATTTACTACAGACACAAGAAATGCGAAATGGGAACCTTTGTCGGGTAATCTAAGTGTGTTACCACTAATTATACCTGTTTTAAATTCATTAACTGACCATCAAGTGAATGATGACAAATAACATGTGTAGGTTTATACCACCTAACACGGGTTACAACGAGGGAGTATTAATTGCTGTATTGCATGTGAAAACTTATGGGCCGACACTGTTTTGAGAATACAAACAGATTTTTACATGACATGATTAAATATCGAGGTAAAACAACACAGAAATGGGATCAATTTGGATCAGTCATTATACAAATAGGGCCTAACGACACCAATCGATTTTGACAGAATCGCCTATGAAAACAAGTTGTAACTCGGAAACTAGGCAAAGCAGGAGACAAAATTAAATGACAGTAGATTGTGAGAACATATAGCTTTCATTTTCCACAACAATTGTCACGATTTCAGGTTTATACAAGCCTGTAAACACGATAATTTACCCCCTAAAATGTAGATGAATTCTGCATCGGCTCTCAAAGCTATTCCTCATATGACGTCACAGAGGCGCGCCGCTCTGATTGGTTGAAATTTCGTTCTCGGGTGAGAATTGTGCACTGTTGTCAAAAAGGTCAATTTAAGTCAATTAAAGGTCGAAATGAGTAGTTTTAATGACGGGGTTTCATTTATAACGATGCCAGTTAGTGATTTATGTATTTGTACCCCCTAGGGTTTATGTGACCTTTAAGTCGAAACTCAGACTTCAGTTTGTTTCGAGAAATCGGGGCCAGGTTTACATGACAAATCCACTGATCAAGTTATTAATTAAAACCACATTTCTTGAAAACTCCATTAAAACTAACGTTTACTTGGCCAAAGGTCAAAAGATGGTTTGCTGTTAAAGTAATGCAGTTCATATAATACACTACTCAACCTTTACAAGGGATATATCAGATATACATCAGTATACACTTGGGTTAATGTGAAATATCAAGATAAACAATAATTATCAAAACTCTAAACTGGAGCAGCATCTGCTTATTAACATTCAGTTCACAGAGACTTATAAGGGTGATATTTTTGTCTTCCACACATGATCTTTCCGTTCGTGCAAATAGAAGATATAGCGAAAAAAACACAACTGAAGCCAAGCACTGTATGCCAAGTGGAATTACTTTCATGTCAACATGACATCCCTATCTCACAGGTGCCTTCAGTCTAGGCCAGGTAAACCAAAGGTAAATAGCTTGGTCAACAAGCCCTGCCCTTTGTTACATTTAATGGTCAGGCCCCGATTTCTCGAAACAAACTTAAGTTTTTACTCAAATTTCAAACTGAGTTGGACAATTTGAAACAGATGAATTTTAACTCAACTGCATTTTTTAAATAAAAAAGCCCAAACAACTTAAGTAATCTATCCACCAAACTCAAATTGTCTACTATGGTTGAGTTTAATATCGATTTTAGTTCATTCTGGGAAATGCATTTTCTCAAATTTGAGTAAAAACTCTAACTTAAGTCGAAACTCAGACTTAAGTTTGTTTCGAGAAATCGGGGCCAGGTTTACATGACAAATCCACTGATCAAGTTATTAATTAAAACCACATTTCTTGAAAACTCCATTAAAACTAACGTTTACTTGGCCAAAGGTCAAAAGATGGTTTGCTGTTAAAGTAATGCAGTTCATATAATACACTACTCAACCTTTACAAGGGATATATCAGATATACGTCAGTTTACACTTGGGTTAATGTGAAATATCAAGATAAACAATAATTATCAAAACTCTAAACTGGAGCAGCATCTACTTATTAACATTCAGTTCACAGAGATTTATAAGGGTGATATTTTTTGTCTTCCACACATGATCTTTCCGTTCGTGCAAATAGAAGATATAACGAAAAAAAACACAACTGAAGAGTACATGTACACATTTATTCAGTGATGAGACAATATTATTTCATGCCAACAAGATCTCAGAAAAACAGGATGTCTCGACATTGTATGAATCTGTTGAGTAGGTCTATTCAATGACAGACATCATATGAACAGAATGCACAAGTTCCCACGTATTGTTAGCCTGAATTGACCTATTTCTGTGCATCACCAGTTAATATGACAGTCAGCTTTAGCCAGGTCATACTGACCTAACTTATCCCCAGTTAATATGACATTGTCATCCTCAGGTAGGTCATGCTGACCTTACTTATCCCCAGTTATGGTATAACAGGTAGTATTATCAGGTATTGCCAATATGAAGGTGCTGGATTCCGGCATACCACTTCAATTGATTTGGTATCCAATTAAAGAATCCCTGGTTAATATCAGTGTAGAAAACATGACAATATATCAGAGATTTACCTGGAGTCCTGTATTTGCAGGTCCGTGGGACTCATACTCTTAATTTTCAGGGGTCCTGGACAACAAAATGGGGGTCCCAGACACTTAAATATTATTAATAATACTGTTATTGTATTGTGTATCATGATCATCGGATTGTTACAGCAATTAAATTGCAAATGATACCACAACCCAGCTAGTAGCAAACTCAGTGATAACTTATTGTCACTTGATTGGAATTTTTACAAAAAGTATTTTAACTTTTTCTGAGTCCCTGTGGATGCGCTAATAAATTTTGTTGTGTCCATTGTCAATTTTTATGCATATAGGATGCAGGAATTAGCGCACTGTAAATCCCTGATACATGTTTGACTAAACGGCTAAATATCTGATTGATTGTTACCAAAGTGATGTAAGGAATAAATATGTATCCAAGTTACAGCACTGTGACATCTGGAACACCATGTAACAGTTTTCAGCATTCAGGATACCTAAATAGGGCTGGCACCCTCCTGCAAGCACTTATCCACTGAATGCCCAGGTAAAGTTTTGTTGGCAAAAAGACAATCACATAGAATTTGCAAACCAGATTTGCCTGGTCTGCGCCTTGCCTTGAAGTGTTGTGTCCTAATGTGTCATTCCGAGGCTATTTGTGATGGCAGATTTGCTCCATGACTGTACTGAACAACGCCATCAGCTGAAGATACTCATCTGCACCGTCCATCAAACACTTGTCTACTATCTGAAGACAAAAAGGTTTCAGCAATTTGAGTGTACATCCTACATTTCAGATGTTTTTCTGTCAAAGAACTTGTCCCTTATCATGGGGGTAGCTGTTCAAATAAGGGTGTCACATGTGGAAGAAGCGGGACGCAAACAATTTGTTTGGAAAAAATAGTAAAACAGTGCCACAGCAAGGAAAGATATAGAACCAGACTAATTTCACAGAATTTGTTAAATGACCTTATCCTTATATGTTCTGAAATGAACAGTAGAAATAAGATGTCAACCAACATCAAGAAAATATGAATCCTGGTCAAATATTTTCTGACTGTCAAGCTGGAATTTACCACTGTTATATATACATATATATATATATATATATAACTATTTTCGGGATTTCGAAGTTATTTTTCGGGGGGAGAGAGAAAGGGGGAAAGAGAGAGAGAGAGACTCACATCCTATAATTTTAAATAACAGTTGGGACTGATGATTGAATGACAAATTATTTTGTACTCCTATGATTTACAAGAACATGTTCTAAATGAAACGTCAAGGTAGCCCAGAATCTCACATGGTCTGTTCAAGACATATATTTACAAACAAGCAAGCAAGCATCTTTCTGTTATGTTTCGAGCACATACCGCCATTTTTTCACATATGGCTGACTTCTGATGATCGCTGAGCTCCCCTAGAGTGACGATTTCGTCGTGCAGCTGCGTCAACACCTGTGTTGCTGAGAACCCTTCGCTGATGATGTGCTGCAATCAGATCCTTCGCATCAACAAACGCTGTAGCGGAATAACAATCGGCACTTTCTCCAGTCTAAATCACCAGGGTTATTTATTATTATTTTATTATTATAGGATATTTATATAGAGCACATATCCAGGCAACTAGTGCATGCTCAAGGCGCTGGCATTTTTCCCCTTGATCATTGGATGTCAATCTCAACGACACATCATAATTATTATCAATCTCAACTCCCTGGGCAGTATACAACTCTTGCAGCCACTATGCGTACCGAGTTAGTGTGGCTTTCTCATCCTAACGAGGTACCCATTCACAGCTGAGTGGACTGGGACACATTGTCACAGTACCGTGTCCAAGTTCACTGTACGTTGCTGTACCCGCAACTAAGTGTTTGCACGTATTAATGTGGCCACCATCTGGTCATATACCAACGGATTCGTTGGTTCTTTCAAGTGCACAGGGTTGTGTACTGTACACTTGGGGCTGTGACAACACTGAAAGAGTCTGCACATAAAGTTGACTCCAAGGTTTTTACACCCGGTCACAGGTAGGATCGATCCCGACACCTCAACCTCGCTGGATCACTAGCCTGGCTCCTTAGCCAGCTCGCCCACCACACCCCATAGCTCATTTACCTAAACATCAGCTCCTAAGGCCACCAAACCAACTTGTATTTCTGTTTGCCCGACCAATTCTAATCAGGAGACCCACACCTTTTACCTTGTCTCTTATTCTATTTTATTTAATTTCATCATTATCCTTGTAATTACACAATGCCATTTCAGAAAGTGGTCAAATGTAACATATGCTATATTTGGGATTACACTTTCTTATTAACATGGAAGTCGCAGGTTGAGCAGGTTAGGCAGCTGACTTTGTGTGCTGGCAATTAGGTGCCTGACTCTGAGGGCATGGGTTCGAATCCCAGATGGGACTCGGCCCAACAAAAGTACAAGAATCTGTACTTTACTAAGAAAGTGTAATCCCAAATATAACATATGTTGCATTATCCCTGAAATTGAGTCCTCAAGTCTTCAATTGAAAGCAGGTTGATACATACATGTACACATGCATCCATCCATCACAATAATGCACTTCGGACACAACCCTGGTTTTGAAGTTGGCAGCACAAATTGTGTTGACACTCTTTGTACACAGAAAATTTCACGTAGACATAGCCAACAAATTGTCACGCAACTTTAGCATCACTTGCATGACCAGATAAACAATAAACTGGTGGACATGACAATAAGAAAGCATAATTTCTTTGAGAGGCATTTAGAAGTTGGAGCAGTAAGGAAGGATAACAATATATGGATGAACAACTTCTTTATTGCTGTGACAGCGACGTTTCAGTGTAGGTTCTAACACCGAATAAGGGTCGTTATTGTGTCTGGTTTCCTAATCCCCATTGTACTGTACAAACATCTGCTCTAACTTGTATATATGCTCCTTCATCCTTATGGTGTTCATCACTTGCTTGATAACGGTGTTAGAACCTACCCCGAAACGTCGCTCTCACAGCAATAAAGAAGTTGTTCATCTATATATTGTTATCCTTCCTCAATAAGAAAGCATACTGTATTTTGCAATTTATATGTAACTATTTCATCATACAAGTACTTGTTAGTTCAAGAAATAAGCAAGTACAGTACTTTGAGGTCATGCAAAAAAACATCTGGTAGTCATCAGTTCTGACAATGACCAGGGGACTTATTCTCGAAACGTTTAGCCCAAAGAATTCTTAACTTTGATCATAGCCAATGTGTTAAGAATGGGCTTTAGAAGTTTGTAGGGCTACGAACGTTTCGAGAATACCTAGCCGGTACTGCAAAAAAATAACTGCAGTACTGATTAAAACATACACAGCTGTCAAGTGTGTTGGTGGGGCTGGCAGATCGTCCTTACCTTGACAGTTTTATCCAGCTTGTCGTAGGAGTCGGAATGACACGTCTTTAGAACCTTCTGTATCAGCTTCTCTGGACAGACCTGAAGCAGGGGGATTTTATAAATCCTGAAGTATTTAGCGAGGTGACATTGAAGCGCGAGAGAAAATCAAGTATTTAATCATCTAACTTGTAAATCTCATTGTCACTGTGTTATGGTGTCAAAACCTGAAGCAGTAATAGGTGAGACCCAGAACTAATGGGTCCTAGTTACAGAATGAGGTAGCAGTCTGTTGAAACCTGGAACAGCGGCACTGTGTGATTGGTTGATCATTTGTCATTTAAGGCCACACTGAGCAATATTTGAGCAATATGATGACCGTAAATAAATATGGACCAGACCATCTAGTCATTGATATCATGAGCACTTATTCATCAGGGCACCCATGAAGGTCCGGGTTTGAATAAACCTTCAGTAACCCGGGTGGTCAGGCTCGCTGGCTTGGTTGACACATGTCATCGGTTCCCAGTTGCGCAGATCGATGCTCATGATGTTGATCAATGTATTGTCTGGTCCAGACTCGATTATTTACAGACCGCTGCCATATAGCTGGAATATTGCTGAGTGCGGCGTAAAACTAAACTCACTATTCATCAGGGCATGGTGACACACAATAAAAACAACAGTCTCATCACCCAATTCATCAAGTCGCCTCTTTTGATAACCACATGCAAGCCTGAGCTCCGTTCCACATGGCAACCTTCACCCTAACTACCATACATAAACAGACTTACGACAGTCACAAAGCCAAGAATGCTTTGGGGATGGGCCCAAGACTCGGATAAATTCCTAAAGGGTCGGGTTGATGAACCTACCCCTGCTATCTCCCACACAACTTCTTCAGTTATCTCCTCCTCCCCCTTCAGCCTGGACGAACTCTGTAGATACGTTATGGCTTTCCGCAGGTCGCCCTCTGAGGTCTCCATCAGGGCTTTAATGGCCTATACACAACATGACATGTCATTTGGTTATTGTCTTATACAAGTCAACAACTGTCAAGTTATATCATCGATACCTGCAATTTATTAGAACAGAAAGACAAGCAGTGGACGATACTGTAAACAAGCGTTAGAAGAAAGTGGTTGAAGTCTCTCTTCAGTTAAAGCCAACAACACAGGCATTCAAGAGATGCTTGGTTGGATTGTTTATAAAGTACAGATCTTTAGGGGATGGAGTAAAATTATGCGATGGTTGTCACTGGATGTCATGGGGGTTCAAATTAATGTAATTATTGCCAAGTTTTTATTCCATTTGAACAAGAATTTATAGTTAATCATTGTTATTTCACTGCATGTGCATCAACTGCCAATAATAAGTGAACCTCAAATTCACATGACATATATCACTGATCCATGTTTACATTTAAATTCTCCAGTCTCCAAAAGGAGCTGTCCAATATGGTCTTGTCTGACCTTCAGTTTCAAATGACTGAAAATACAACATGTGAATCCATTGTCTTATTCATCCTCTACAATCATTCTTTGTTTTGTCAAGTTTGGCTTCTTAAAGTAATTTCTCGTACATGGGTCTTACATCAATTCAAAACCCTGGAGCAGGTTTTCGAGTGATTGGAAAACCAATCTGTAAAATAGCAAACAGTATATTTTAAACCCATTGATGCGAGAACCTGGTACTACTAAGGGACACAACTCTTCACAGTAGGGTGACTTGTAGGCCCTCAACACATAAGCTTGATGAAGCCCTGTGTACATCTACAACAGTACATCAATGACATACCTTTTTTGTCACAATTCACATTTTCTTTCTCACAGATGAGCTTAAGTCTTTTTGTTAAGATCTCTTCGGACAGGGGTTTAAAGCGGAACTTGGCGCATCGTGATGTGATGGGTTCGATGATTCGACTGACGTAGTTACAGATGAGGCAGAAACGTGTGGTCCTTGATTCTTTCTCCATTGTACGCCTTAACGCAGCCTTCAAACATAATAATCAAGTTATCAAATCGTAGCGATCATCTTTAATAATTCAGAGAATAAAACATCTACTAGATCGTATTCATAAATGCTGTGTTTCACCATAAATCATGCTCATGCGTTGTGTAAGAAACCATCCCTTATTTTCTGTGTGCATGTGTCAAACATGAAACAGGAGTCATCAGAAGATGACAAATCCCCCCGGCCCCCACATATCTGAAAGAACTGACAGTTAGTGTAAGTCCAACTTGATTTTTTTTAGACTAAGTCCAAACCGTTTCCATGGAAATCATGAAAATTATAAATGCCAAAAATCTGCAAATAGCAAAAGACACTACTTTGGGATCTGCCTCATATATCTGCCAAGTTATGCTGAAAGATATTGAAGGGTTTTCGAGTTGTGCTCCAGAAACGAAGAACACCCCTCCTTTTTGAGACTAAGTCAAACACGTTTCCATGGCAACCAAGAAAAATAGCAAATGCCAAATATCCGCAAATAGCAAAAGGCCTCACTTTAGGTTCGGTTTGATATATCTACCAAGTTTTGTTGAAAGATATTGAACAGTTTTCGTGTTGTGCTCCGGAAATGAAACCCATCCTACCCTTTTGAAACTAAGTGCAACACGTTTCCATGGCAACTCAGAAAAATAAAAATGACTAAAATCTGTAAATAGCAAAAGCCACCACTTTAGGTACCATTTGATATATCTACTAAGTTTTGTTGAAAGATATTGAACGGTTTTTGAGGTTTGCTCCGGAAATGAAGATTACCTCTTCCTCTTGTGAGTAAGTTCAAATCGTTTCCATGGAAACCAAAAAAATACAAATGAAAAAAATCTGTAAAATATAGCAAAAGGCACCACTTTAGGTTCTGTTTGATATATCTACCAATTTTTGTTGAAAAAAATTGAACGGTTTTCGAGTTGTGCTCTGGAAACAAAATGATTACGGACAGACAGACGGACGAGGTGTTGACTATATACCCCCGGCATGTAAAAAATGACAGAGTTGACATATCAAGTCATATTTATGAATACACTATGCCTTTAAGAAAGTGGTTCAATGTAACATGTGGTATTTTGGATTTTTGGATTACTCTTTCTAGGTCAAGTATAGTGAATGAGTGAATTGAGCAATATTCCAGCTATATAGAATTGAGTCTGGACCAGACAATCCAGTGATCGACAGCATGAGCATAGATCTCCGATCAGCAATAAGTTCCAGCCCGTTATATGGGTTACTGAAAGTTTAATCTAACCCGGACCTTCACGGGTCAGATCTAAGGGTAAATCAATCAAGGCCAGGCACCTTTTGTGTATTTGTTGCTTAACGCCGCACTCAGCAATATTCCAGCTATATGGCGGCAGTCTGTAAATAATCAGGTGGACCCGACAATCGAGCATCAATCTACGAATTGGGATAAGAATATAAGATGACATGTGGGTCAACCTAGTCTGCGAAAGCCTGACCACCTGATCCTGTTAGTCGCCTCTTACAAGAAGCTTGGGTTACTGAAGACTAATCATAACCGTGATCCTGGGTCCTGTAACACTGACACTGTGAGGTGATGGGTATAGCTGTTCTCACCTGTGCTGCAGTTGTCATGGAGTCAGCCTCATCCAGAATAACAATCTTAAATGGTGGACATGGCTTCCCACTGAAAAACAGTACCATGTAACATTAAACATACATGTCTAATGTTTGAGGGGAGACAAAATGAGGTTCACGTAGCGTTCAACATATCTGCACTAGTCCAGACCGATGCCAAACGACGTAAGTATACTGTTAAGAAACCAAGGACTCTGGATGAACTTACTCAGATCGGGAGCCCCCTGCTGTCAACATAGCAAAGGATTTCACTTTATCTCTCACGACATCAATACCACGCTCATCTGATGCGTTCAACTCCAACACGCGACTACGGAATATTTCTGGTCTGGAAAATATACAAAACAAAGCATTAGAACAAATCAGAAAATAGGTGAATATTGTTTAACAGCTCACTTGGCTCACCAACTGCCCTTGTAAATCTTTGAGCGACATTAACACTTCTTTGAACAGTGTTTTAGGTATATGATAATCACGGAGACTCTTGAACACTGAGTAGACTCACCCAAACAGGTCTCTGGCAGCTGCCAGTATGGTGGAGGTTTTACCCGTGCCGGGCGGACCGTAGAACAACAGGTTTGGCAGCTGCAACACAACATATCTGCATTACCACAGCAGCTTTGAACAAAGAGTACACTCACCAGAAGATGACAAATCCCCGCCCAAACAAATTTGAAAGAACAAATCATCTGACAGCTATTAAAAGTCCAACTTCATGAGTCCATCCATATACAAGAGTAGTTATTGAGCTATCAAAACAGTAACATGGAATTGGGATTCTTAAACTTTGTACTTCTATGTCAGGTACACACCAATATGAAAGTCAAAGGAAAATCCCTATTTGACAACCTGGTCTTTGTGTGTGAACAGTTTCATGAAAAGAATACCTATTAGTTTAAGAAATATGATCCGCGACAAACACACCACTATGAACAGTGTCAAAGTCAAACTTGCTGCCATGTAAACAGGAAAAGAATTCATTTTCTAAATTCCTAAATAGTAGTAGGCACCACTTCAGCCCTTGGTTAATACATGTACCTGGTTGGATGAAAAAGGGACTCATGGTTTTTGAGTTGTGCTCTGCAAACAAAATCCAACCCCTCCTTTTGAAACCAAGTCCAAATTGTTTCCATTGACATCAAAACACTGTTAAGAAATACCCACAGCTTTTAATGGGTTTTTTAATATAAATTTCCGTATTTCAATTTTAGGAGTTTCCACATTTTTAGCCAAGTTTACAACCAAGTCTGGCCTAAACATTATCTACATACTTACATCAGCCCCCTCCAGAGACTTGTTCAACACAGCAACAACTTCATCTTGATGTGCCACGTCCTTTATACACCGTGGGCGACTGCAAGCAGATTTTCTCAGTTAACTCGACAGAAAACTTTCAGGAAAAATATTTTACTCATAATCTAAAACCACAGACCCTTGTGTTATGGCTTAAACATTTCTGTGCACTATATGACATATCTTCCCAAAGCCAGAACTCAGTGTATCATGATGTTTCTAGAGCAAAATGACAGAACCTGCACAAACACTTTACATCTACCTTGTCTTGGACGATTATTCTGTTCACTCTGGAAACAGTGCTACAATATTGATTGAAATTTCAAAAGCTCACATTAACAGAACTAATACTGACTAAACCCTTCAGTGATGTTTCAAAGGCTCCTACTATTTTTCAACCCATGGTATGAGTTTAGTCTTTGCTTCCTTGTCTTGTTTCGAACTTGAAGCCGGCTTGTCCTTAGTTTTTGACAAGCCAGTTGTCCCTCCTTTCAGGAATGCCTGCATCTTTTGTTAAGTTTGCTTAGTCTGGCTGTAGAGTCTGAAATGGACAGGGGTGAGAGATATGTTTAATCCAAAAACAGTATTTTAATCAGTAAGAAAACTAGACAAAAGCAAAATCATGGCAGGGGACACCAGAAATGGGCTTCACACATTGTACCTAAGTGGGAAATCAAACCTGACCTTTGGCATAACGAGCAAACTCATTAACCATTGTGCTACCTCACCGCCTCTGGAGTACAATGTATTTCTCTCAGGTTATATGTACTACAGTAGCAGTGAGGTATCTCAATTCACTCAATCAACCGGCCCAGGGTCCCAATTCACTCTAAGCCTTCATAACATTACGACCTGTCATAACTAGGGATGCCATGATACATCGATACTTTCTCTCAGACGATACAATTATTGATACATTCAAAGCTGTATCGACATTTAGTTTTGAAAGTATTGGTTTAAATATGTTTATGTATCATAGAGATTTTTCTGGGTTACATCTTCTTTATATTTCGCTTATGTTCATCAAATATCATCTTCTAAAAATGCCAATCAAGCATCTAATGTTTATGTATCGCTTACATTTTGCAATTGTATCATGTTTTTATGTTATGAGAGTTAATAATGATTATTTTTCATGCAGAAAGATGGAAAATTAGAACTTTTTAATCTCTAGAATAAGAAATGTTGATCTTTCATGGACAATTATAAAATATTAAATATTAATGTTCAAAATGTAACTAAATTTACGCAATAATGCTGCGAAAATAGGTATCGCGGATACATATCGAATCGCGACATGGATATTGTGGATATGTATTGATTCATGAAACTTATGTATCGCGGACATCCCGACTCATAACTCTATAGTTTATCATGAGCTTATGAAATTACCCTATGAATATGGATTGGGGTGAGGTGAGGTGAAATTGGGTTTAACGTCCGTGGCTTTGAGAATATTTCGCTTATATGACGACGCGCATGCGTGTGTATGTGTAATGTGCTGCTGCTTGTACTAGCCCAGACTGAAGCTGGTTTTATAGTGCTAGCCCACTGAAATACCATGCCGCAGTGAAGCATGAATACCCCACTCAGACACATTATACTGACTCCGGAGTCAACCAGTCCTTGTTGTACAATATGGATTGGGACCCAGCCCTTTAATATAGTCCTTATACAGGAATAACAAACAAGTTTCATCTTTCAGCAAGAGGTTATCTTGACCAGACTTGCCTCTCTACGGCTGTAGGTGAATTCGTAACTCAAAACCGGTTCAGATCGGAACCGTGGATTCTGTGACGGATTGAGCGTGTGAATTCAGACGCGTATTAAATGGGAAAAGTTCATCCTCAATGATGAAGAAAATCGACGAAAGTGTTTGCATTTTGTGAAAGAAATAAAATATATCAGGTAAGTATGATCGGCTGTGAAAATATCCTTAAATAATAAAATAACAAAATATGCTTCACAGTGGTCCATTTCACAAATTCGGCTAAATCATAGGCCGCTAATATTAAATTCAGTTGTGTAAAATTAAAAGATATGTGTTAGCAGGGAGACTCTATAAGGGGAGTGGTCACCCTCGGAAAGCTCCTAAGCTATGCCTCAGCTCGTCACGTGCCCAGTGCAGCCAATATGGCGGCAGCGTAGTTTTTAAGATTGAGCCCGGTTTATTTTCAACAGCTGATTACATACACTGAGTGTTGTGACAACTGAAAACCTACATGTAGAAGATAAGTTACCTATTCTGTCACTTCATTTTAAGTCAAATACTTGTTATTAGTGTCAGTATAAGTACAGTAGCTTTGTAGTAAAGTTTCAAGTGGGCATGTTGTAGCTCACTGGCTTCAATTCTCAGTACACAGCGAAGAAAGACTAAATTATATCGCTAAAAAACTTCTTTCACATATTCTTTTAATTTTAGAAGGGAAATATACCTTTTAGTTAAAAGGTGTTTGCAAGTAATAGTGATATTTTTATAACTAAAAAAAAATGTTAGGGTGTATTTGAGGTGTGTGAAAATATGACATATCACCGATCTGCCATTGAAATACTACAGGGCGTGTTTGAGTGTTTCTAGTTAGGTGTTCAAAAACATCTTTCCTCATACACCTTCAATTTTTATGAGGGGAATATACCATCAGGTGAAAGGTGTTTGCAAGTAATAGTAATAGTTTTATAATTTAAAAAAAATTGTTAGTGTGTATTTGAGGTGTGTAAAAAATATGACATATCATTGATCTGCCATTGAAATACTACAGGGCTGTTTGAGTGTTTCTAGTTAGTGTTCAAAACATCTTTCACATACACCTTCAATTTTATGAGGGAATATACCATCAGGTGAAAGGTGTTTGCAAGTAATAGTAATAGTTTTATAATTTTAAAAAATTGTTAGTGTGTATTTGAGGTGTGTGAAAATATGACATATCACCGATCTGTTCTGATGATACCATTGGTGCTTGTGATGCTTGAGTGTTATAGTTCTAAAACTTCTTTCTTTCTTGTTGATCATAGTATTTGACAAAACTGGAAAGGTGTTTGCAAGGCTTTGTGATAGTTCTAAACTTTCAGTTCTTGAGGGGTCTGTGACAGTGTCAGTTAACATTCTGTCAATGCCCATGTCATTCCACAAATGCAATAAGATATCTGAATTAGTTACTAATGTAAAAAACATGTCTCAAAGTAATTTTTTTTGAAAAGGACAGCTGATGTTAACATGTATTCTACCGACAGTTTTATGCTTCTTTAACATGTTTTGGGAGGGATGGCCGTGGTGTATCATTTATTCTTTCATTCATTCACATATGTTCTTTTTCTTTTGTTCTTTTCTTAATTTCTTTCATTCATTCACATAAAATTCTTGCTCTTAATTCATTCATTCATTCATTGTAAAATTCACCCATACAATACACTGGCTGAAGTACTGTTAAACGAAATGCCGGTTGCGCTTGGGACCGAACCAAGTCACTGTGTGCGTTGGAGCATGACGAGGCACACGCTAATTAGTACAAATGGTAAAGAAGGCAAGCGAAAGTGACCTATCCCTGTTGTAGAGTATCCCTGGTATTAGGTAAGTATCGTCATTCAACGCTTAACTACGCAGAGACCAGCAGAGAAGTAGCAGAAAACACTTCTTAAGAAAACACTTACATCTCCCACACAGAGTACTTCGCAATCAAAACAACTCACCACTTCCTAATTAACATTCACAACAACTCAGTGAAACCAGTTAATCCACATACACAACACTCTTCATTCACATTTTCTTGTGTCCTCAGCATATCGTTTCGTATCACTGAAAACAAAGCATACGGGAAAATATTCATTCACAATTTCCTTGAGTCTTTAGCTGCCCTTAGTTTCAGATCACTGAAAACAAAGCATAACAACTTCGTTATAAACATTCTAAGTAACATCTAAGTAAAATTCAAACTATATATTCAATTATTTATACATCGCCTACTTAATTCACCGCCTACTTAACTGGTTTTGGTTACGAATTCACCGCTACCTTCACTTAACTAGTTTTGTCTACTTAAATCACCGTCTCCCGCCTCTACAGCCCCAAACATCAGATCATCTTCTCGAGGCAACGGAAAAATCTCCACCCTTGTCAAACTATGAATGATCTGTCAAAACCTGTCATCACTGAGACAGAGACCATATATACTAAGACAATAGATCAACAGTGGGTATTTGTATCTCAAACTACAATGCTATTACCCTTTCTATTTTTGAAACTGTCACAATGGTGAACTTGCTTCATTGAGTATTCATTCAGTGTTTGTGCCAAAGTATTGATACAGTTCAAAGCTTCATACTTCTTATTTTAGAAAATGCACTCAGAAGTAAATTCTATGACTTGTTGCCAGTTGCTAAACACACAAAAAAAAATGTTTTGAAGTAAATTCAACTAGGTCAGTGTCACAGAAGCCCTACTCAAACTTAAAGAGATTGAGTGAGTTGGGTGAAACAGGCCATCGTGGCAATGATCTCCTTATAAAGACAGTTTTTTTCCACTGAAGTAAGCGTTAGTCATGATCAATCCTTCATTGAAACTGTCTCGTGTGTGTGTTGCCTAATATAGATCTTTCAACAAAGATGTGTCTAATACTGCATTACATTAAAATTGAACATTGCTAAAATCAGTAGTCAGCCTAAAGCTGTTTTCTGTTTGTGGTTTCTGACTCTGAGAACTGTTTCTCAACCTCCGGATTCATGCCTTGGCGTTCATACGTCGAAGTAAGTATGCGATAGGCGATTACAATTAGCCAGAGACATCAATGCCGCCATGTTCCATGATATTGCGGAAAGCAATTATTCGGGATGCAAATCAAGTACCTCAATAGATCATGTGCTTCGGGTGTATTGTTGTGTCTTTTTCACCCTCCACATCGGCCATTTCCCGCCGTATTCCTTGAATCAACTCACAACACTGCGTGTATCCAGTTCTTCACAGCACCGTTAGGTGGCGCACGTATTAATGGCACACAGTTTCAACTAAACTGGTTTCACTGTTACGCGCCTCCAATTTAGCGCTTTGAGGCTATTTACTGCTGCCTGTTTAGGTAGACAGGGTCCCAGTCAATGTTTCCATTCCCTCGGATTTGTTGACGATATGACGAAAATGCCAAACGATTTTTATTTTATGGAGTCCTTTACACGAATAAAAACTGACTTGTCGTAGATATGACAGATCCCATCCCAATAATCAGTACAAATTCCTTAACCCAAATGTTGGATAACTCCAACTCCAACATATATATATATAGTCTCGTTCCAAACCCGTTCAATATGTACCCGATAAAAATATAAAGGTGCGAATAAATATATAAATACATTTAAAACATTATTCGTTTCAGTGTCACAAAGAAACTCATCAAGGCAGTTTTTCATAGGTAAACGTTATTTTAATTACAGCAGTTACACAAACTGTATTGATAGCTAATTCATGAGTGAGTATGGTTTTACGCCGCTATTAACAATATTCCAGCAATATCACGGCGGGGACACCAGCTAAATGAATACTTGTATTACACAATTATCATAAAATGATAACTGGACACCAAGCTAATTTATTGAATACTTAATGAATGTAAAAAATGTATTAAACAATAATCATGTGTTAAATAGATTGATAATTGGGCACTATATGGGAAGTGCTGAATAAAGGCTGTATTTTCAAATTTTCCATGGTCTGTACCGATTTTTAACATGTTGCCTTTAGAAATATACGGGTACAGGTCATCCAAATTGCTTTAACTGCTCCAACACTGGCTCTGACTAGAATCGTGGGGCTAAGTCACCGCTGGGTTCGAATCTCTGAGGATGGAACGGGTCCCATTTCGAGATATTTCAAATGTATACTGTATATATATATTGCCTTTGTGTTGGTACGAATATTCTAAAATATTACTTGCATTTTAGTTTGTAACGCCCAATTATTTCGATTCTGATTTCTGCAATCTTCAAGGATTATCGTATATTTGCTTTAACCTTACGATAATCGGGGGCAAAGACCGCAGTGGAACGGATGGATTTTGTATCGAGTTGGTACGGAGACATTTCAGTGCAAACGCCCAGTATTTGAGTTTACGCCGCAGGGCTTCAATTGGGATGGATTTTGCAATATTTGAGTTTACGCCGCAACAATATATGGCGGCGGTCTGTAAATAATCGAGTGTGGACCAGACAATCCAGTGATCAACAGCATGAGCATCGATCTGCGCAATTGGGAACCGATGGCATGTGTCAACCAAGCCAGCGAGCTTTTGTTCGAAGTCGATCCCATTTTCACTATTTCACGAATTTCCCTTTCCAGTCTTCAGGTGTTTCCATGACAACATGGGTCTTCAGCGCATAAGAGGAGAGTGTTGATTATTTTCATAGCAGAACACTGAAGCATACAATATTTTGTCATGAATATGTCACAATAGTTGACCACTTGGAGTATTGAGAGTTCATTCCGCTATTAACTTTGACCCATCAAACAACATTAAGATGCCTAGTGGTTAAAGCGTTCGCTCGTCACGCGGGTTCGATTCCCAACATGTGTGAAGCCCATTTCTGGTGTCCCCCCGCTGTGGTATTGCTGGAATATTGCTTAAAGCAACGTATAACCTTACTCTCTAACTCTCTCAGTCGTTTACAAAATATATACACACCATTATATCCTCAGCTCATCTACATGTTTGTTACGAATCTGTGTGTACTGTACATTGCCCCTGTTAAGAGTCTTTATTGACGTGTGAGGATTGTTTTGGTGTGTGTGTTCACTGTGGAATGGCCTACCGTGGAATAATGTAGGGGAGACCGGGGTCAATTGTAACACGGGTCAATTGTAACAAGGGCGATTACTCTAAACGTTTTCGCTCAAGCATAGTGTAGGTGAGTAGATTTATTTCCCTTTACTTTCCTGCGGTACTCATCCAGGCGTTTTTCATCTGCTCGCTTATGGCGAGATACAGTTGACGAAAAATCGTTTTTCACATAGGTAAGTAAATTTTTCACAAAACGTATTAAAGCGTTCTTAATGCAGTAAATGGTGTTTGGTATGAAATTAACTTTTCAAGTGTAAAATTTAGATATTACGACATGTTTGGAAGTAGAAATATTTGAGAAGCCCAAGGTTGTTAACGTGTGACGTGACATGAAATATGGCTATTGCCATTAGGGGCAATTGTAACACTGTGTTACAATTGCCCCCATGTAATTTTCCCATGTGTTATGATAATAAAGCAAATTATGATGAAGGTTTTATGTTAGTTCTTTACTAGGTTTATCATAGTAGAACATTTTCAGTGTTATGTTGATAGTTTTAGCCTCGGGTGAAAGTTTTTGGTGTTAGTCTTTGTATTATATTTTGGGCATACCAACACAAGAATTTTAAACGAAAAATTTTTAAATGTCGATGGTGATAAAGGTTTATTGTTAATCCATTTCCACCTCAACTGATCAAGATAACATCTTTCCACATTTTGATTTTATTTGGAAAATAAATAAATTGTTACATTTGAACCTTCTGTGTTACAATTGCCCTATCCACCTGTTACAATTGCCCCGTGCTAGGGTCAATTGTAACACTTGTAGTCATTGCATTTGATACGTAATAACTTTGTAAAGACATGATAGTGAACTTGAAACGACACTGAGGTTTAACGCCAAGAACCCAATGTACTAGTTAGTACCGATTTACTTTGTGAGCGGTCGTCTGGGATCGAACTACAAGAAGTTAAGTAAAAAGTGTTACAATTGACCCCGGTCTCCCCTATACATTTCTAAATAACATGCTCTCGAAAAATGCATCGTTACCATCATTGATCAAAAAGTGAGGAATTCTTCAAATATTATACCCAATGCATTTACCAAAGTTTTGCATTCGTATTGCATGTTTGTGCAGTCAATCTGTATCAGAGAGATCGGGGAAATCTAATTGATAATATTTCTATCATATTTTTCTCTGTTGAGGGATGTCCTCTTCTCTCACCCAGGTGATCACTGGCCGAAGCACAACCTTGTTCAGTGTCCTTGCGCGCGCACTACATTTTAGCATATAATTAGGCTGAAGGAGTCGTTGTCGGCACAGGTACTACAGATACGTACCCCAGGTACGTTTCTGTATACAGATATGTACCCTAAACAAAGTCAAAATACAGAAACGTACCCGGTACCCTAAAAGGCGGACGAGTCCATATTCCAAAACCGAATGTAGTAGTTCCTGTTCATATGCATTGCGAAATATCCGTTACTGTGTATTTTCATTACTTACATAACGCATTCAAATGTATCTAATACAACAGTATAACAGTTCCGATCAAGAATACGACACAATGGAAATGGAATCGTCCTAGGGTACGTTTCTGTATTCTTATTATGGCCAGGGTACATATCTGTATACAGAAACGTACTTGGGGTACGTTTCTGTAGTACCTGTGCCGACAACAACCCCTTCAGGTATATTTAGTACCGCAACAACTATCCTAAATTATTATCTATTTCCAAATTTAAAAAAAAAAAAACTCCTTGTAGATACGTATAGTAGATCACTCAGATCTTGAGCGGTTAGGTAAAGCAATGGGTCAGCGCCACCTGACGGTCTATCGCAGTATGTCGCTGTATTGAGCTGCAAACAGAATTAACTGGTTCGCCACTCAGTCTGCGCTGTGTCAACCTGCTCACTTATACTATTTGGAGACAGAAGCCAAGTTAGAACGAAAATACGGAAGTTACATCTGCGCAGACACGGAAGGTGACCGTGTTTTTTTTGCGATTAGTTTCATCCTCAACGAAGCGTATGCTAACAAAATGCAAACCGTGGAAAAAGCACACGAAACGCGCGAAGTAGATTTGTCTGCGGCCCCAAGAGGCGTATGGCTTGTAAAGGCAAGTATACTAAAATGTCAATGTTTAAAGTAAAACTTCTTTCAAGTTCAATATTGACTGAACTATGATTTTAGTTGATCCACTGGTGAAGTTTATTTGATCGGTATACATCAGTATCACTGTATGTATAAGGATAACTGAAAATCGGAAACTTATTCCGTAGCTCATTTCGACATTGGCAAGATTGAACTTCACCGTGCGCAACTTCAGTCATAGAACTAGTGTCAGAGATACATACGGTACCATATGTGTACCATATTTGTTCAGTGGGAACAAATGATACAGTGAAAAAAAAATCAGATATTTAGACTTGTCGTAATGGCGGGGAAGTGTTTTAGATTTTGAGAGTTTAGGTGATAAGATGCACTACACAATATTATGTATTCAGAAGTACATGTTAGTCATTGCCCATTCCAGTGATCATGACAATGATTACAATTTTGGGCCAGTTTTGTTTTGGGGATTGTCAACTTTAGACCAAATTATCATTGATGTTCCTATGTGCCTCCAGTTGGATGTGGCACAACCTTCCCTGACACAATGATCAAAGCATCACAGAGACGTATGAGATCAGTCAGCACATCACAAGCATTGTCAGCTTTGTTCTCCCAACTGAATATTAATCATATTAACAGTAGAGTATGTAACGTGTACACAAGATGGTTCCCCGTTTGTGTACACGTGACTACCTGAAAGGGCATCACTTATTTGTGTGACTGCCTGACCACGGACAGGGGAAGTCTGTATGTCACACAAAAACGTGTCTTAAGTGTTATTTATGAACAAAAGTCAAAGAAAATTTGGTGCATTCATTGTAGTGGTGGTCCGATTAATTGAAATAATCAAAGATTGGTCGCAGTGACGAAACGACCAAGCAATCTAATATGTTTTCTAATAATTGAACAAAAACAATTTTGGAACTCTTGTTTGCATCAACAATATTTTTCACAAGGTTGGTTTTGTCTGTGTGATTAAATTTACATTTCATTAGCACTACAAACTCGTTCCATGTTATGAAATAGTAGTCATAATGATGTTTCTATTACAGGGTACCCTATGGGATTATTTTGGCTTCATTTCTCTCCCAGCACCCAGTAAAATTGATGATTTTCGAGCGGGAGACAGTGTTCGATGTCCCGACTAGGTCGCCAGCGTAGGCCTTGACGTGCCGAGTGGAGTTTATTTTATAGGGGGTCTTTTAGGAGCCTTAAAATCTGTAGGGCACCATGAGTTTTGGCAACCCAAATGCAATGTAACCAAAAAGCCCACTGTTTCAAGATTTTCCATTTTGACATTTGGTGCCAAAGCATGTATACAGCAACCTATTTGTATTTCCAGAACAATGGCAGTCGAAGCTCAACATACGAAAATATGGGCTTGCGAGCCGAAAAAGCAGTGGCATACAACCTCCTACTGGAAAATACCGTAGGAAGCAATCTTCTACCGGACATTGCCCGTGTAGACTATCTCAATGGCCATCTCGGCAAAACAAATCTCCAACCACTGGAAGGTCTACCAACTTTTTGTGGACGATATCTACGTGATTCGCCATCTTCAATTTAAAAGACTGTGTCTATAGAAAAGGAGCCGTGTATTGTACCATCGGAGAAAAAGGACGGCATCCGTTGTAGTTTCCAACATAACGAGTGCAGTACGCAAAGCTTTCAAGCAAGAGGAGGGCTATATGCCAACCAAAATCGTACATACGCTACAATATGCCATAGATGCCCCCTCTGTACAAAGAATCGAGAAAGAAACCAATTTTGTGGCGAAGATGCAGTGGGAATCTCTACACGTAGACGACCCGATATTTGGAATATTCATAGCAAAAGTGGATGTCTCGGAAATACCTATGGAGCAAATACAAGCCAATATTTACAAATTCGAACGATTTCTATTGGCACATGGCTATGGACTGTATTCTATGGACTATACGAGGGATTTCTCCTGCACCCTGGAATACAAAACTAGTTTGTACCCAGTTTGCCTACTGGCCATGTTGTCTTGCAGACCTTGCAATTTCTAGCGTGCAGGATCTATCATTCTTTTTCTGTGGTGTTCTTTTTGGTTTGCCAATGGAGCAGAGAATCGGAGATTCGCTGTTTCGAAGAGCATCATGTCCTCCAAGCCGTTCTATTTCTTCTTCTAGATAGAATCCACACACGGGTACATGTACGTCTGTTGTCTCCACTCCATCTACAGTCGGAACCAGCCACAGTATGGTTCTCTGGTTTCCACGATAGGTTGCAGAAGCAAATTTCCAACAAATGTATTCCCCAGGAAGCATATCGAATATACGTGTTGTTTTGTTGGCTTTTGTTGGCTTTGTTTCTTCTATTGCTTTGTGTCGTAGTCTTTCGAGATCTTGCACTGCAGATTCCATAGCAATTGCTCGGCGAACAGATTCTTCCATAGCATCTGACAGCGATATGACAGACACTGGATTCCAATAGATCGGAACACCTTCTTCCGTTTCGAAACTCCTACAAGGCTCTACGCAGGAAGAAATTGTTCCATTGGGAGTCCAATACGTAGTTCGTCCCCACCTATCGCATCTCTCTTCCACAAACTCGTTGCACGGTTGTTCTAGACCTTTGTTTGCCCAAACTGCTATTGGTTCGCTGCAGTCGCTTTCCTCTCTCCCTCTTTGCACAACTACTCTATAGGAAGTTTGCTGGAGTCCCATTGGATTTCTGTATACGCCATCCGAGAACGGAATAGGTTTTCTTTTCCGAAAGGTAAGACAGGCGGATTGTGATGGGAAGGGAGAGACCGTTTTCGGCCATTTCCTGTGCTTTTTTTTAAATCTCTGCATAGCGCTTTTGGCGATGGCGATCTCTTCGAGGCGATTGACTTCCTCAGTTCGTTTTTCTTCGTTCTTTTTGTAGTCCTCTTGCATCATCTCCAGACGACTCCATGCATCTCTACGCCATTCTGCATTGGCAGCATGCAAAATTTCTTCCAGTCTTCTTTCGCGATCTCTCACTTGCATAGTATAGTACGACCTACCACGATTTCCGGTACTTCCTCTATCTCGTTTTTTCTATGCAGATTATGCTTTTGGTCTTTCTTTCGCCATTCGAAAGCTTAATAGTTTGTTCGGGGTAGCAACGTATCTGGATATGGACCTTGGGAATGTAGCTGCATCGGCCTACGACTTCAAGATAGTATAGTTCTAGTATGGGGAGCTTTTGTATAGCATCGTAGTGGTCCTATTTCTACTCCTGTAGGTGTAGCGGCCCAAAATGTCTGCTCGAAATAGAGGACATGCCTGAATCCGAAATCGGCTGTAGCCCATTCTATGGTGCAGTTCCATCAAACATCGCCTTCTACATTGGCTTTGGTGGGTTGTACTTGGATTCCGGATACTCTTCCTGTGCCCGAAAGTGTTCGTTGGAACAATCCGCGATAGTCGGCCAAATGTCCACCGATGTGTTCTCGTACTTCTCCGGCTTCGAAATTGGAAACTACTTTGTTGTAGATTTTTGTTTGCATGGTATATCCATTCCAGGTTCCAACCTAAGTACAGACGTGGTTGCCTACACTACCCGTATTGTCTAGGATGGTAGGTCCCTCGCAGTCCATGGCTGTTGCAAGATCTTTTTGGTTTTGAAAGTCGTGTCTGTTTTGGAGGTATTCCACGAGACTCTTTCTGTCTAGGATGCCGATAGACGTATAGTCGATAGACGTGTAGAGATTCCCACTGCATCTTTGCCACAAAATTGGTTTCTTTCTCGATTCTTCGTACAGTGCTCTGTATTGCAGAGGGGGCATCTATGGCATATTGTAGCGTATGTACGATTTTGGTTTGCATATAGCCCTCCTCCTCAAAAGATTCGCGTACTGTACTCGCTATGTTAGAAACTACAACGGATGCCGTTCCTTTTTCTCCGATACTACAATACACGGCTCCTTTTCTATAGACACAGTCTTTTTCGTCGAAGATAGCCAAATACGTAGATATCGTCCACAAATGTAGGTAGACCTTCCAGTGGTTGGAGACTTGTTTGCCGAGATTGCCATGGAGATAGTCTACACGGGCAATGTCCGGTTGAACATGTCTGGTATTTTCCAGTAGGAGGTTGTATGCCACCGCTTTTTCAGCTCGCAAGCCCATATTTTCGTATATGTTGCTTCAACTGCCATTTTTCTGGAAATACAGATAGGTTGCTGTATACCTGCTTGGGCACCAAATGTCCAAATGGAAAATCTCGAAATGTTGGGTTCCATTGCATTGGGGTTGCTGAAACTCATGGTGCCCTACAGATTTTAAGGCTCCTAAAAGACCCCCTAATAAAAAAACTCCATTCGGCACGTCGAGGCCTACGCTGGCGAGCTAGTCAGGACATCGAACACTGTCTCCCGCTCGAAAATCATCAATTATACTGGGCGCTGAGAGCAAAATTAAGCCAAAATAAGCCCATAGGGTACCCTGTAATAGAACAATCATTAAGACTACTACTTATGATTGAATTTATGTTCCTAACATACTAGTCATCCTTTAAATACGTAAAATTTTCAAATGCATTTTGTGCAATTTGCAAACAACTCCAAAGAACTACATGTTTTTTCTATTTGTTTTGTGTGCATTAACATGTACATTTGATAAATGAAGCTAACCAATTATTTTCGATGATTGATCGGTTGTAATGGACCAATCATCAGTTATTATATTTTAAACAATTCCCAACACTAATTGACTGATAGTTGTTCAAGTTGTTGAATGACATGAATGAAAACATAAAAAGAAAATTTATATACCGGTAGTCAAATTTGGACAAAACAGATTAAACAGTGAATTTCATCCATGTGCATGTATATAGGAAGCGTAAATTTAATATTTTCTGAAAGCCCATTCATCGTAGATTTACAGTATGTATGTAGCTTTCGAGGCACACGAAAGCACCCCTGTTTTCAAAAGAAAACAAGAAGCTGTCTTCTATGCTTAATAATGATTAGTATAGATACATGTGATATGTTAAAACTGATTTCTTCAGGTTCCTAAGTATCTGTCAGAAAGATGGCAGAAGGCGCGGAGGCAGCGAAGTGGGCAAGCTCCGGATCACAAGACCGGCGTGAGTGTCGATGTACATTCTAGACAGGGAGCTTTGTGGTATTTTCAGTGGAGTCTTCAGCTTAATTTAATTCCTCAGAAATTTGTGGTGGCATGGTTGAATAATTAGATCTGATATGATATATCAAAATACCCCCTGGTGTTTCATCCCCTGCATCTCCAGGGTTCATGTTTCCTCCAGCCTTCACAAACCTCCAGATCCGCTTCTATTGTTCTCACAATCTCAAATTACCGCAGTGATTACCTGTCATTGGTTTTATCCCAAACTGGGAACAGGTAAGTTTGAGGCACCATTGCTTAGTCAATTACAATTATTGGTAAATGTACTGAGCTGAATACAAACAAGTGAGTGAGTGAGTGAGTTTAGGTTTACCCCATGTTTTTTGGCAATATTACAGCAACAAAATGTGGGGACACCAGAAATAGTCTTCACATACTGTACCCATGTGGCTTAATCGATTCCGGTCTTTGCTGTAATGGTCAGGCTCGGTGGCTTGGTTGACACGGTCTTCAGTTCCCGATTGCCGGGTCGATCTCATGCTGTTGATCACTGGATTGTCTGGTCCAGACTCGATTAATTACAGACCGCCGGCCATATAGCTGGCATATTGCTGAGTGCGCGGCGTAAAACTAAACTCTCTCACTCACACTTTGCTGTGATGAACAAACGCTTTAACCACTAGGTTATGCCACTGAGCTCGTGGTCTTGTTTCAGAAACCCTGGTCCAAAGCCAGATGTCATGTTCTCGCCTCACGAGTCCATGCTGAAAGTTTCGAACCTGGACAAGCACAGGCCAAAAGATCATAAGTTTGTTCTAGCTGGGGTTGGTGTTCAAAATCTGGTGGTCATGTCACAGACGCCTATATTTGCTAAAGGTAGGTTACAGCTGAAATATGTAAATGTATGGGTACAGTTAATTCAGTTGTCCCCTGACTGGCTTTATCAGCTGATTGTGGCCTTGAAGCCAGTGGTTCCTCCATACAAGTATGGCCGCTGTTTGTTTTTGCAAAGAGTCATTATAGTTAAATCATCTTTCATTACCTTATGGCCTTGTCAGATGACATTTTAGTGACTTCTTGGAGACATCAAGGAATTGTGGCAGAGTCCCCGAAGGTATACTAGAGTTTTGCCAAGTTGTCAGGATAAGCTGGAACAGCTGATGAGTCTGGTGATGTTGCCAGTTGAGATGGTGCTTTCGAATTTAACTAGACATTTTCAATGGTATGTAGGTAAGGTGATGGTGCTGGTCATTCTGTGACATCTATAAACTTTCAACAATCAGCTTTCTCATATATGGGATTTTAGAGCGTTTGTTTGAAGAACAATTGTATTGTCATCTTGAAAATGTAGCCATGTACCATGGATACATGGTTACAAGGCTGCTATTGTTACACAGAATTTGAAGTCGCCCGCCAATCATATTGCGTTAACTCATGTTTCAGATGGGAATGGCGCCACCAAAGAAAAGGTTGCAGGTATGTGTGTTGCCTTGATAGTGGAACAGACATGTTTTAAATGCCCTGATTGTTGACAATAATTAGTTAGAACTCATGTCAGAATTCCATGTTAAGAGGGGGTGGGGCGGTAACCTAGTGGTTACGATGTTCGCTTTGTCGAAGACCAGGGTTCAATTCCCACACACAGGTGCAATAAAAGCGCAGATAAAAGCCAAGTAAAACCAAACTCACACACTCTGTCCATGTTATGAGTCATTCTACCCCTAATATGTGTGCTGTTGCTCGTGAGCATCGATCACTGGGTTGTCTGGTCTAGATTTTGATCATTTGCCAACCCCCATCACATAACCGAATATCTCTGATTGTGGCGTTAAATGATCCCATCACATAACTGGAATATCTCTGATTGTGGCAACCAGCGTTGAAATGACCAACACAGATGTCTGAGATAAAACCCAGTTTTATGTTTGATTGGTTTGTTAGTTTGTAGTTAGTAGCAACCAGCTCCCACAGAGTGTAAAATGAAATGTGTGTTCTTGCAGCTTCATGGATTGAGAGATTGGTGGATTGTAAACAGTGCAAATTGAAAAGTATTACAGATGGAATTGCATTATGCAGTCAATGTGTGTTCAATTGCAGTACAATCGCCTTAGTTCTCCCACAGATTGGTGGCTTGGTGTTATGCATGCAATGTCAATGTGTGTTCCAGAGAGGGTTGCAGTAGAAGGGTTGCAAGGTGCTGCAGCGCTATGGAGTGTCGACCTGTGGCTGATGACATCTATAACAAACTCAAGAGGTGAGAACATTAGAAGTGAGGCCACCAGTCAGATTGTGGCTGAGTTATAAGCCCAAGAGATAACTAACTCCAAAAGGATGAGAGTGTGTGGATCTTGGTATCACTAGTTTTGAATATTTATAGTAGAGATATTACATATATCAGTACCGGTAACTGTTTATTCCAGATCCAACTAAACCAGTATGAATTTTTGACAAACTGTTAATTTCAATTTAACTTGATTCTGATTGGTCAAAATATTATTAAAATCAGATACCTCAAAAGTAAGATGCCTGTGTTTTACCACCTGTTATGTATTGTGAGACTACTGTTGTTATCAGTTAATATCGTGATGCCTATCATGTAGATATCAGCGATGCATATTGGTTGAAACAGCCAGTCCTATCATTCATGACCAACTCATGTTATTCCATGACAAGCTGAAGAGTGACATTGCCCTTCTCAGGGTCATTTGTGTGACTGGGTTCTGTTTAAGAACTAATGGGTCTAGCTAAAAGAACTCTTATTATATATATGCATAATGACTCCTGTATATTTCCCAGACTTATGATATATATTGCATATGCTATGTAAAAATTATGAGAAATACAGTTATTTATTACTCACCAACGTCCTGAAGATATCACTGTTTAATCATTTTACAATGTTATTACACATTGTTTGTCCTGTGTTCACATACCTTCCACGAAACTGGTTTACAGTTATGACGCCAGAATGCTAAAATACAGTTATTCTGTCACAATTGAAGTATTAGACCCTGCTTGACTCGTGGAATGCTGAGAGTCATCACAATAGTATTAGACCCTGCTGAATTCTTAGGAAAGAAGTACTTTGCTTTCGATATTATTTTGCTAATGTTTGGTGGGTAATAAATAAAATACTAAACTATGTAAATACTAAAATACTAAACTAAAGGTATTGGTATCTAACTCACTATCGCTTCGTTAGATACCAAACCTTTCACTCGTTTCATAAATACGGTATTACACGGGACATCGTTTAGTATTCTCTATATCTCACACTAGTGGATGTCAGCAATCATATATTAAAAGGTTGTGTTTGTGTGTTGTTCCATATGCAGACGTCACTGGGAGATCCAGAACAAACCCAAGAGAGAGGTGATCCAGCTGAGTGGAGTTGTCCAGTCCTACAAACCACGGAGTGCCTTTGCCACGCTGGTAGGTCTTGCTGTGTCAACACCATTCTAGTGACCTGTGAATAATGTTAGAATTGGTCTTCAGCAACCCATGCGTGTCGTAAGAGGTGACTTGGTTGACACATGTCATCGTATCCCAGTTGCGTAGACCAATGCTCATGAGGTTGATCACTGGATTGTCTGGTCCATACAGTCAGCTCTCATTAATCCGACAATCACGTTAATCCGACAAAATATTACGGAACCATTTAAAACATTGATAATTACTCTCGTTAATCCGACATTCTCGCATTCCGACTCCGACACACCAATCTAGCAACTGATTATTGTAAATACATTGTAAAAACATTCGTTAATCCGACTATCAACACAGCCGGTCAGATGATCCGATCGTATACAAACAATCACACATGAGTGGTAATTAGCGTGTGCCTTACTGGCACCGGCGTCAGTGAACATCACACTTGTTAATTAGGAACACAGGATAATTAATTGAGACGATTTAATCAAGAAATAACAGTAGAGCGAGCTGTATAAAATGTTTACAACCAACATGAGTTTTCGTCACAAGATGTCTGTCTCGAGTACACCACCTGCTAAGTGAGCCCGAGTAGAAGTTACGCCATTGATCAAGAGAAATCTCCTTTTGAAGAAAGACAAACCCCAGACAACACAACAACAAGTCATCACTTTTCCTAAGCAGAAGTTTGATGTGAAGACTGGATGATCAACCGTATCTGACAACCTGAAGCAGTCTGCTTAGTGGTTTAGCGTCTCTACGACTGATCCCAATGCTTCAAGCTATCTGAAGCCAAAACATCGCTGAACACTTTGCAAACATTTCTGACACACCACTTAGACGTGTTTGATGTTAGTGACCATCAAAGACTTTTTCAAGTTATAAATTATAAATGTTATGATAATTGCCTGATTCTTCACTACTGCGTCCACATGTTAGTATGGAATTAGTTGTATGGAAACTGTAACATATTCAACATCCGGTCTTAATGGCTGCTGATATGCGGTAAAACAAACATGTGAGTTTTGTGCCAATGTGGTTATGACATAGATATGAAACTGATTGATTATTTGCTTATATATAGAGAATTACCCAAGTAGTCTTCTGATATCAATTATATCAACACGAAGTTGATAAAGTTACAAATATCCGAGGCTTGCCAAGGATATTTTACTTTATCAACGAAAGTGTTGATATATTTGATATCAGAAGACACGAGGGTGAGATTCTATTTATGATCCAAAATCACTCTTCATTAATTTTCAATGAAAAATGTACATCTCTGAACTTGGTACTGCCATTAGACTTGCAGTGCAGCGATGTCATAGCATTGTGACGCCATCAAGTACATGACGTCATAGCATTGTCAGGGCATTGTACAAAATCTACTGTCAAAACGATATCTCCTAAGAGATATCGCTTTGCTCTACACAAGCGATATCTCCTGTGGAACACAGTTTTGGATGATAAATGTTAGTTATGCCATCTATGAATGGTAATAAATGATAACAAGGATGTGTTGTTGTTATTTTTTATTTCCGTGAATATTTTACATACGATGAAGATAATAGATCTACCATTTCTGATATGATTGCAACAGCATGACGATCATGACATTTAGTAAACATTGATATTTTCACACAAATACATTAATCCAACATTTTCGTTAATCCGACATATTTCTCTGCAACCACGAAAGTGTCAGATTAACGAGAGTTGACTGTACTTTGAATATTTACAGACCACTACTATATAGCTAGATCAATCAATGAAATTTGAATAAGTGGTTTTATGGATTCATTTCACATTTTGTGTTTTTCTATAAGTGTCAAAGTGTGTTCAAGGTATAATAAATGGAATTTCAATATGGCCTCCAGGAAGCCATCTTTGATTCACATAAATACAACTTCAAACCTGAAGGCTGATCCCAGGGATGTGAATTGATCACCATATGGAGTTTGTGACATCTTGGTTGGGCATCAACTATAGCTACCATCGGCAGGAACATTAGGGCTGAAACGGTATACTACGGTGTATTCATACTGCTGTGATTTGTTTTCGGTTCGGTACACCAAAGTTCACTTTGAAAATACGGTACATTCGTTTTTCGTGACTGAAAATATCATCTTACTCACCTTTTATGCACATTACTTTCAGAATGTCATCACAAATATTCCATGTAATTTAAGTCTAGATGACATCTTCATGTAGCTACCGCTTCTGACATTTCTGTGCCAAAGTGCTATTGTCAACAACTCATGCTAATTCGATTGGATGAACGAAGTTCATGTAAAGGCACTTTCTTTTGGGTCCCAATTCCAAGAAGATTTCTTCTCAGAACTTTAATTTTATTGTTAATGAACCAAACCGAAATGTACTGAACCGAGCTGTGAACTGCAATACGCACTCTAACCGTGGCATGGCGCATCACCGTTGCACCTCTCTAATGAACATTGTATACATGTCGCTGACAAGCTCTCTTGTGTCTACAGGATGGGGACAAACGCAAGAAGGAGGAAAGCAAGAGGTCAAGGTTAGACCGCCTGAAGGTGCAGGACATGCTGTTCAATGCCTTCGAAACATCAGTACTACAATGTCAAGGACCTGGTCAAGATCACCAACCAGCCTGTGGTAGGTCACATCTTGGGGAACATCTTTGGGGAACATCATCTCTGGGTACATCTGTTTGTGATATCCTAAGTCTCTAAGTCACATCACAACTCTTTGTCACACCCCTTTGTTGCATCCTTTAGTGACATCCCTTGGTAACATCCCCTGGGTCACATCAATGACATTGCTTGTCAGATCCCTCATATTTACACCCATCTCTGTTTCACATATACTCACATCTGTTTCACATTCACCTATATCTGTTTTGCATTCACCTCCAGCTGTTTCTTACATTCACCTCCAGCTGTTTCATCTATATGTTTTGCATTCACCTCCAGCTGTTTCACAGTTACTCCCCATCTGTTACACTTACTCACCTGTTTCACTTTGACTTCCAGCTGTTTCACAGTTACTCAGCTGTTTCACAGTTACTTACTCCCATATGTTTCACGTTGGCTCCCAACTCTGTTTCACATTCAATCATGTCTCTCACTCATATCTTTCTGCATGCATTTTCCATCTTTTGTTTCCATTTTTATAGCTGTGGCCCAGATTTTATAATAGATTTGCTCAAACTGTTTTAATGGTAACTTTTATTTCTTCCTGCCAAAGGGTTATAAGCAATTCTGATCCTCCGCAGTAGATTGAGGTGTGAAGAGAATGAACTCTTTGCCTTTTATTCCAAGAAATACTCCATATGATTATTACATCCAGAGTTCCCTCCCATGTTTAACATATTTTTCATTAAATTTCCATTCAAGAGCTTGCCGGTCGAGTACACAGTCTTGATAGAATCTGAAGTATTTAGTTTGTTGTTTCAGCCGCATTACCTGAAGGAGATCCTGAAAGAGATCTGCCGCATTACAAACATGAAGGCTCCGCGATCGCGCAACATGTGGGAGCTGAAACCAGAGTACCGACATTACAAGGAACAGAACGACTCCTAGCACCAGCTCCGGACATTGTCCAGTATTTATTGAGTGACCCTTGGATATCCCAAGGGGAAAACAGGCACAGCGCCAGACTTATTCCATAGGTACAATAGGAGTTGCAATCTCTGGTCACACCTGGCCTGTGGGTACTTCCGAGTGGTGCCTTCTGTCCATGACAGATGAGTACATAAGGGTGCCGTCTCTACCCATGCTTGTCCCGTGGGTACATGAGGGGTGCCATCTCTACCCATGCTTGTCCGGTGGGTACATGGGGGTGCCATCTCTACCCATGCTTGTCCCATGGGTACATCGGGATGCCATCTCTACCCATGCTTGTCCCATGGGTACATGAGGGGTGCCATCTCTACCCATGCTTGTCCCATGGGTACATGAGGGGTGCCATCTCTACCCATGCTTGTCCCTTGGGTACATCGGGATGCCATCTCTTGTCCCGTGGGTACATCGGGATGCCATCTCTTGTCCTGTGGGTACATCGGGATGCCATCTCTTGTCCCGTGGGTACATCGGGATGCCATCTCTTGTCCTGTGGGTACATCGGGATGCCATCTCTTGTCCTGTGGGTACATCAGGATGCCATCTGTTGTCCGTGGGTACATCGATGCCATCTGTTGTCTTGTGGGTACATCGGAATGCCATCTCTTGTCCCGCGTGGTTACATCGGGATGCCATCTCTTGTCCCGTGGGTACATCGGGGATGCCATCTCTTGTCCCATGGGTACATCGGGATGCCATCTGTTGTCCCGTGGGGTACATCGGGATGCCATCTGTTGTCCCGATGGTACATCGGGATGCCATCTGTTGTCCCGTGGTTACATCGGGATGCCATCTGTTGTCTTGTGGGTACATCGGAATGCCATCTCTTGTCCCGTGGTTACATCGGGATGCCATCTCTTGTCCCATGGGTACATCGGGATGCCATCTGTTGTCCCGTGGGTACATCGGGATACCATCTCTTGTCCTGGGTATCGGGATGCCATCTCTTTGTCCCGTGGTTACATCGGGATGCCATCTGTTGTCCTGTGGGTACATCGATGCCATCTGTTGTCTTGTGGGTACATCGGAATGCCATCTCTTGTCCCGTGGTTACATCGGGATGCCATCTCTTGTCCCGTGGGTACATCGATGCCATCTCTTGTCCTGTGGGTATCGGGATGCCATCTCTTGTCCTGTGGGTACATCGGGATGCCATCTCTTGTCCTGTGGGTACATCGGGATGCCATCTCTTGTCCCGTGGGTGCATCGGGATGCCATCTCTTGTCCTGTGGGTACATCGGGATGCCATCTCTTGTCCTGTGGGTACATCGGGATGCCATGTCTTGTCCTGTGGGTACATAGGGATGTCATCTCTTATCCCGTGGGTACATGACAGGGTTGCTGTCCCTGCCTATGCTGTCCCTGTCAGATGTCCTAGAGTTGTGTCCCCTACACATGGGTTTGAATCTCACATCAACACATGGGCAGAGATGGTACCCATGAACCAAAGTGGTTGCAACATGCAACTTGAACATGTCAGCAGAATGCTTATTGTGCCAAATAGTTAAAATCAAATCAAGTAATAAAATCATGTCACATGTTATCATATACCAATCCATATTGTTTTTTAAACTCTGTAGACTCTTCTTCCATGGACAAAAGAAACAACTTAGGATTCATCTTGAAAATCAGAAAATGTCATTTTTCATCATAAGGATGTTGTTGAAGAGTTTCATCCCTTGAGCCTGCTGAAACCTATGATTGTTGGTTCGAACTCAGAATGTTCCTGGGAATGTCAGCAACATCCTCATACTCGTGGTGTCACCTAGGTGTAGACATCCCAACATGTATTTTCAAATATGATATGATTTCTGGGTGAGCCAATCTGATTTTAACTGTGTGAAACAAGGACTTCTGAAACATGGACAAACCTGAGGGACTTGGGGTAGTCGAGTGGTTAAAGTGTTCTCTCGTCACACCATATGTCTGATTTGTTTCACATGGGTTCAAGGTGTAAAGGGTATCCCCTGCTGTGATGTTGCTGGAATATTGAGATGACAAAACTTTATGGATGATCAACTTCTTTATTATTATTAACGTTTTGTCATCTCTATACCACCAACTTGTAGAAGCCACTCAAACAAATCTGGAATATTGCTGTAAGCAGAGAACTCACTCACTCACTCTCTCACTCTTGAGTCAGAGGGCATAGTTCTGCCCATATCCAAATGAATTATTAGTAATGGTTTTAATTGGTATCCCTCCTTTGACTTAAATACTAGATCACTAAACATTAAGAACATATTATTTACTGATTTTGATGATTTGAGAAACTGCAAAATGTTGTAATCTTGACTCAAGGGTAGGTAACTCAGCTCGTTGACAGACATATAATGGAAATGTCAGTCCTGAAAACATTTTAACTATTGTAAATTTTCATTGGGTCTCTGAGCTGATTAGTGAGAGTAATCAATAAATCATCAGTGCTCTGTGGAACCGTTACCATGGTGCCAAACTGATCATAGTGTGATAGTAACTTGAAATGTCCATGAACATATTTTACTGTTGTCATTCCTGTGTTCCACATGAGAGATTTTGTATGTAAATCATCATGATTTTATGAAATTGATTGATCCACTTCATAAAATATGCTTTGGGGGTTCATCTGAGACTTTTGTCAGTTTTAATGTGCAAATTAAAACATTGTAATTGAACTGATGCTGTTGTCTTGACTTTTACCTCACCTTCATATATCGCCAGAACAATCTTATAGCCGGATCACTGCCAGTTAGCTCGGGATCCTTTTTCAAACTAATTTGGGGGGTGGGGTAGCCCAGCGGTTAAAGAGTTCACTTGTCTTGCTGAAGACTTGGGTTTGATTCCCCACATGGGTACAATATGTGAAGCCCATTTCTGATGTTCCCCGCGCTGTGATATTGCTGGAATATTGCTAAAAAGCTGGGTAAACTAAACTCACTCACACCCACTCACTCAAAACTAATTTCATTTCAGTGTCACTTTCACAGATCTTGACCAATATCTGACTTTTCATTCTAAGTCTCGAGTACACCACCTGCTAAGTGAGCTCGAGTAGAAGTTACGCCATTGATCAAGAAAGAAATCTCCTTTTGAAGAAAGACAAACCCCAGACAACACAACAACAAGTCATCACTTTTCCTAAGCAGAAGTTTGATGTGAAGACTGGATGATCAACCGTATCTGACAACCTGAAGCAGTCTGCTTAGTGGTTTAGCGTCTCTACGACTGATCCCAATGCTTCAAGCTATCTGAAGCCAAAGCATCGTTGAACACTTTGCCAACATTTATGACACACCACTTAGACATGTTTGATATTAATGACCATCAAAGACTTTTTCAAGTTATAAATTATAAATGTTATAATAATTGCCTGATTGTTCACTACACGTCCACATGTTAGTATGGAAGTAGTTGTATGGAAACTGTAACATTTTCAACATCCAGGTCGTAATGGCTGCTGATATGCGGTAAAAACAAACATGAGTTTTGTGCCAATGTGGGTATGACATAGATATGAAACTGTTTGATTATTTGCTATATGTTAGTTATGCCATTAATGAATGGAAATAAATGATAACAAGGATGTGTTGTTATTTTTTTTCTCCGTGAATATTTTTACATACGATGAAGATAATAGATCTACCATTTCTGATATGATTGCAACAGTATGACAATCATGACATTTAGTAAACATTGATATTTTCACACAAATACATTAATCCGACATTTTCGTTAATCCGACATATTTCTCTGCAACCACGAGTGTCGGATTAACGAGAGTTGACTGTACTTGAATATTTACCGACCACTGCTATATAGCTAGATCAATCAATGAAATTTGAAGTGGTTTTATGGATTCATTTCACATTTTGAGTTTTTCTGTAAGTGTGTCAAGTGTGTTCAAGGTATAATAAATGGAATTTCAATATGGCCTCCAGGAAGCCATCTTTGATTCACATAAATACAACTTCAAACCTGAAGGCTGATCCCAGGGATGTGAATTGATCACCATATGGGGTTTGTGACATCTTGGTTGGACATCAACTATAGCTACCATCGGCAGGAACATTAGGGCTGAAACGGTATACTACGGTGTATTCATACTGCTGTGTTTTGTTTTCGGTTCGGTACACCAAAAGTCACTTTGAAAATACGGTACATTCGTTTTTCGTACTGAAAATATCATCTTACTCACCTTATGCACATTACTTTCGGAATGTCATCACAAATATTCCATGTAATTTAAGTCTAGATGACATCTTCATGTAGCTACCGTTTCTGACATTTCTGTGCCAAAGTGCTATTGTCAACAACTCATGCTAATTTGATTGGATGAACGGTTCATGTAAAGGCACTTTCATTTGGGTCCCAATTCCAAGAAGATTTCTTCTCGGAACTTTAATTTTTATTGTTAATGAACCAAACCGAAATGTACCAAACCGAGAGCTGTGAACTGCAATACGTACCGAACCGTGGCATGGCGTACCGTTGCACCCCTAATGAACATGGTATACATGTCGCTGACAAGCTCTCTTGTGTCTACAGGATGGGGACAAACGCAAGAAGGAGGAAAGCAAGAGGTCAAGGTTAGACCGCGAGAAGGTGCAGGACATGCTGTTCAATGCCTTCGAGAAACATCAGTACTACAATGTCAAGGACCTGGTCAAGATCACCAACCAGCCTGTGGTAGGTCACATCTTGGGGGAACATCATCTCTGGGTACATCTGTTTGTGATATCCTTACAGTCACATCTCTAAGTCACATCGGGCGGTGGGGTAGCCTAGTGGTTAAAGCGTTGGTCCTAAGTTCGATTCACATGGGCACAATGTGTGTTAAGCCCATTTCTGGTGTCCCCCGCCGTGATATTGCTGGAATATTGCTAAAAGCGGCGTAAAACTAAACTCAGTCAGTCAGTCTAAGTCACATCACAACTGTTTCTCACGCCCATTTGTTGCATCCTTTAGTGACCTCCCCTGGGTCACATCAATGACATTGCTTGTCACATCCCTCATATTTACACTCATCTCTGTTTCACATATACTCATATCTGTTTCACATTCACCTATATCTTGTCAGATCCACTCCATATTTACACCCATATCTGTTTCACATATACTCACGCTGTTTCACATTCATCTATATGTTTTGCATTCACCTCCAGCTGTTTCAAGATTCACCTTTACTCCTATCTGTTTCACATATACTCACATCTGTTTCACATTCACCTATATCTGTTTCGTATTCACCTCCAGCTGTTTCACACTTACTCCTGTTTCACATATACTGACATCTGTTTCACATTCACCTATATCTGTTTCACAGTTACTCACCTGTTTCACTTTGACTTCCATCTGTTTCACAGTTACTCAGCTGTTTCACGTTTACTCCCATATGTTTCACATTGGCTCCCAACTCTGTTTCACATTCAATCATGTCTCTCACTCATATCTTTCCGCATGCATTTTCTGTCTTTTTGTTTCCATTTTTTAGCTGTGGCCCAGATTTTATAATAGATTTGCTCAAACTTTTGTAATGGTCACTTTTATTTCTTCCTGCCAAAGGGTTATAAGCAATTCTGATCCTCCGCAGTAGATTGAGGTGTGAAGAGAATGAACTCTTTGTCTTTATATTCCAAGAAATACTCCATATTATTATTCCCTCCCATGTTTAACATATTTTTTCATTAAATTTCCATTCAAGAGCTTGCCGAGTACACAGTCTTGATAGAATCTGAAGTATTTAGTTTGTTGTTTCAGCCGTACCTGAAGGAGATCCTGAAAGAGATCTGCACGTACAACATGAAGGCTCCGCATCGCAACATGTGGGAGCTGAAACCAGAGTATCGACATTACAAGGAACAGAACGACTCCTAGCACCAGCTCCCGGACATTGTCCGTATTTATTGAGTGACCCTTGGATATCCCAGGGGAAAACAGGCACAGCGCCAGACTTATTCCATAGGTACAATAGGAGTTGCAATCTCTGGTCACACCTGGCCTGTGGGTACTTCAGAGTGGTGCCTTCTGTCCATGACAGATGAGTACATAAGGGTGCCGTCTCTACCCATGCTTGTCCCGTGGGTACATGAGGGGTGCCATCTCTACCCATGCTTGTCAGGTGGGTACATCGGGATGCCATCTCTACCCATGCTTGTCCCATGGGTACATGAGGGGTGCCATCTCTACCCATGCTTGTCCCTGGCCTGTGGGTACATCGGGATACATCGGGATGCCATCTCTCGGGATGCCATGTCTTGTGCCATCTCTTGTCCTGTGGGTACATCGGATGCCATCTCTTGTCCCGTGGGTACATCAGGATGCCATCTCTTGTCGGGGATCGGGATGCATCGGGGATGCCATCTCTTGTCCCATGGGTACATCAGGTGCCATCTATTGTCCTGTGGGTACATCGGGATGCCATCTCTCCCATGGTTACATCGGGATGCCATCTCATGTCCCGCGGGTACATCAGGATGCCATTCTTGTCCTGTGGGTACATCGATGCCATCTCTTGTCCTGTGGGTGCATCTCTTGTCCGGATGCCATCTCTCGGGATGTCTCTGTCCTGTGGGTACATCGGGATGCCATCTCTTGTCCTGTGGGTACATCGGATGCCATCTCTTGTCCTGTGGGTACATCCCATCTCTGTCCTGTGGGTGCATCGGGATGCCATCTCTTGTCCTGTGGGTGCATCGGGATGCCATCTCTTGTCCTGTGGGTACATCGGGATGCCATCTCTCGTCCCGTGGGTGCATCGGGATGCCATCTCTTGTCCTGTGGGTACATCGCGATGCCATCTGTTGTCCTGTGGGTACATCGGGATGCCATCTCTTGTCCCGTGGGTACATCAGGGGTGCCATCTCTTGTCCCATGGGTACATCGGGATGCCATCTCTTGTCCCAACTCTTGTCCCAAGGTTACATGAGGGATGCTGTCTGTACCCATGCTTGTCCCGTGGGTACATCGGGATGCCATCTCTTGTCCCGTGGGTACATCAGAATGCCATCTCTTGTCCTGTGGGTACATCGGGATGCCATCTCTTGTCCCGTTGGTACATCGGGATGCCATCTCTTGTCCTGTGGGTACATCGGGATGCCATCTGTTGTCCCATGGGTACATGAGGGTACATCAGGATGCCATCTGTCTGTACCCATGCTTGTCCCATGGTACATCAGGGATGTCATCTCTTCTCTTGTCCTGTGGGTACATCGGGCCATGTCCTGTGTGAGTGGGATGCCATCTGTTGTCCTGTGGGTACATAGGGATGTCATCTCTTATCCCGTGGGTACATGACAGGGTTGCCGTCCCTGCCTATGCTGTCCCTGCCTATGCTGTCCCTGTCAGATGTCCTAGAGTTGTGTCCCCTACACATGGGTTTGAATCTCACATCAACACATGGGCAGAGATGGTACCCATGAACCAAAGTGGTTGCAACATGCAACTTGAACATGTCAGCAGAATGCTTATTGTGCCAAATAGTTAAAATCAAATCAAGTAATAAAATCATGTCACATGTTATCATATACCAATCCATATTGTTTTTTAAACTCTGTAGACTCTTCTTCCGTGGACAAAAGAAATAACTTAGGATTCATCTTAAAAATCAGAAAATGTCATTTTTCATCATAAGGATGTTGTTGAAGAGTTTCATCCCTTTAGCCTGCGAGAAACCTATGATTGTTTGTTCGAACTCAGAATGTTCCTGGGAATGTCAGCAACATCCTCATACTCGTGGGTGTCACCTAGGTGTAGACATCCCAACATGTTTTTTTCAAATATGATATGATTTCTGGGTGAGCCAATCTGATTTTAACTGTGTGAAACAAGGACTTCTGAAACATGGACAAACCTGAGGGACCTGGGGTAGTCGAGTGGTTAAAGTGTTGTCTCGTCACACCGTATGTCTGGTTTGTGTCACATGGGTTCAGGGTGTAAATATCCCCTGCTGTGATGTTGCTGGAATATTGAGATGACAAAACTTTATGGATGATCAACTTCTTTATTATTATTAACGTTTTGTCATCTCTATACCACCAACTTGTAGAATTGCCACTCAAACAAATCTGGAATATTGCTGTAAAGCAGAGAACTCACTCACTTGAGTCAGAGGGCATGGTTCTGCCCATATCCAAATGAATTATTAGTAACGGTTTTAAATGGTATGCCTCCTTTTGGCTTAAATACTAGATCACTAAACATTAAGAACATATTATTTACTGATTTTGATGATTTGAGAAACTGCAAAATGTAGTCATCTTGACTCAAGGGTAGATAACTCAGCTCGTTGACAGACATATAATGGAAATATCAGTCCTGAAAACATTTTAACTATTGTAAATTTTCATTGGGGCTCTGAGCTGATTAGTGAGAGTAATCAATAAATCATCAGTGCTCTGTTGAACCGTTACCATGGTGCCAAACTGATCATAGTGTGATAGTAACTTGAAATGTCCATGAACATATTTTACTGTTGTCATTCCTATGTTCCACATGAGAGATTTTGTATGTACATCATCATGATTTTATGAAATTGATTGATCCACTTCATAAAATATGCTTTTGGGGTTCATCTGAGATTTTTTTCAGTTTTAATGTGCAAATTAAAACATTGTACTGAATTGATGCTGTTGTCTTGACTTTTACCTCAACTTCATATCGCCAGAACAATCTTATAGTCGGATCACTTCCAGTTAGCTCGGGATCCTTTTTCAAACTAATTTGGGTGGGTGGGGTAGCCCAGCGGTTAAAGAGTTCACTTGTCTTGCTGAAGACCTGGGTTTGATTCCCCACATGGGTACAATATGTGAAGCCCATTTCTGATGTTCCCCCGCTGTGATATTGCTGAAATATTGCTAAAAGCTGGGTAAAACTAAACTCACTCACACCCACTCACTCAAAACTAATTTCATTTCAGTGTCACTTTCACAGATCATGACCAATATCTTACTTTTCATTCTATCAATATAAAAGAGCAGGTGATACTGGTTTGAATGTTCATATGCAGGTTTTAAAACCTTTCTCTGAATTGAAGTGAATGTGTCATTTTAAGAATTAAACTGTATAGTGATGCAGTTTTGGCACATGACCTGATGAAATTGACAGTCAAGGTCACAGCCAATGAAATTAGCATATGGAACCTAAGTGTGTCAGTAATGGCCTTCTAAGGTGCTGGAAATATGCATGCAAAGTTGCGCATTAGTCATACTGAAAGTTGTGATCCTGGGATTGTTTCTTTGTTGTTTAACCTGCACTCTGCTATATCGCTACATGGCGATCCTGGGTTTGAGCACCAGCTCTAATTAGATTGATGAGTAGCCCAATCTGTTCATGTTGTACTACCCTGTTGTGATGTTGTTGTGTGTGCGATTGCTAAATAAAGCAAATAAAACCTAAACTTGATATATCAGCATGGCAGTTACAGTCTAAAATATCATATTGCAGAGAGGCACTCAACAAATACTGTATGCAGTAATGTAAATGCAATGCATTACAAATTCCTTTAAATGACACCAAGACCATTGCCCGAGTCCACACTCATATTGAGAGAATTGTCAACATGATTTTTTAGTCTTGACTGGAGGGGTATACTTTGGCCTGGTCCTATACCTGCTATATGGCATCCTGGGTTTGAGCACCTGGGGCTATGAACTGCTACACCTGGCACCATACATTATTCATGGGTTTCATCTAAATGGCAGTGTTAAGACCAACATCACTTTGGGCTTTCCCTCTCTTGGAGCTATAGGAACTGACAGATTGTGTGACATATCATTTCTTCCTGGACACATTTGGTTTCACCAATGACATTTGAAAAGGTTTAGTTTCACTTTTATCAAGTTTTGGCCAAACTTCTGTTGTAGTGTGAAATCAGATCTCCATTGTTTGGTTTTATTGGAACCATAAGATTTGAAATACGGTTGATACCAAATTTTCCTAAAACTGTTTTTGAACAATGTTTCTTAGATTTTCGAAACTCCTTTGATATTCTGCTACATTTCATTTCCGAAACGAGGGCAGATAAGCCAGTCGTCTAATGCGCCATCAGGCGCGTAGCAAGCCATTTTTTTTCGTGTAAGCCCGATAGGCTGTAAAGCTATATATTTAGATACTATTGAGGGCTTGTCCATCCTTTTTAGCAACAATCTTGTGTAAGCCCGGGCTTTTTTCTATAATGGTAACTACGCCCCTGGCCACGTTTTCTGTGGCGAGTTGCGTCCCGTGGGTACATGAATATTTCTGGTGCTGGGTTCGAATCCCGTTTTGCCTTGGTTTTGTTTGTAGGTTTGTCAGCACCATACCATTGCCTTTTGGTTGAACAGAGGTAGTCACGCAGGGTGCACACCATCATGGGGTCAAATCGCTCCATCGTCGGCTACATCATCGGCCCAGCGTCGGCGAACATCGTCAGGCCGATGACGTTTTGCTCATCTGATCAACATCTGCCTGACGTCTGAAATAACTATCAGCATCGGCCAGTCATCGAAACATCATAAGTAGTTATTATCATCTCAGCATCGGACTTACACTGGCCCGACCATAATTATCAGTATAAAATATGCCTATAGTCTGTTTGCAGTGAAAACGTACCGATGAATTTCACTTTAAACAAAAAAGTAAATCAAATAAAGTGAAATTAAGATTGCGAATCCTCATAAATTAACCTTGCCAATTAAACATTTAAATCTCAAAATTTTATTCAAATTAGGATAAAAATTGTTTAACAAACGATCAAAGATTCAAATCGCTATTACTGGTTTGTATTACAAGGGGGTAAGCGCAGTAGTTGGAACAGGGAAACAAATGCACGTGCGGTACGTGAAGAGCGTTAACTTAACAAACCTTGTCGTTTTCGGTGTTTCATTTGATGTGCATACACCCTTGTAATACAAACCAATAATAACCATATGAAACGATGGGGCAGTCTAGCTCGTCACGCCGAAGACCCGGGTTCGATTCCCCACATGGTCACATAGTTACAATTAATGTGTGGTTTCTGTTGTCCCCCGCCGTGAAATAGCTGGAATATTGCTAAAAGCAACTTGCCTATTAATAAGATAGAAGCGACAAAACCCTGACCACATCTTGAAGAAATCATGATCCCATTGTACAGTTGTCACTATATCATGAGTATATATTTGTTTCAGCAGTATTACAGCTGT